GACGCTGGGTTTAATGCTCACCTCATGAATTCTTTTGAAAAAATAAAAAATTAATGCAAAACTCCCTATGACAAACAACATTTCAAGACATTGAGGGGCCAGCGCTGTGGCGCAGCAGGTTAACGCCCTGGTCTGAAGCACCAGCATCCCATATGGGCGCCAGTTTGAGACCCGGCTGCTCCACTTCTGATCCAGCTCTCTGCTGTGGCCTGGGAAAGCAGTAGAAGATGGCCTGAGTCTTTGGGCCCCTGCACCCACGTGGAAGAACTGGAAGATGCTCCTGGCTCCTGGTTTTGGATCGGCGCAGCTCCAGCTGTTGCAGCCAGTTGGGGAGTGAACCATCAGATGGATCTCTCTCTCTCTCTCTCTCTCTCTGCCTCTCCTTTCTCTGTGTAACTCTGACTTGCAAATAAATATTAAAAAAAAAAGACATCGAGTGAAGATTGGATTCATCTGAATGCCACGTGGACCCACACTGGAGCTCCTAATCTTCACCAGCCACCCTCTGGTCCTTGCTGTGGCCACCAGCTGTCATCCCAGAAGAGGCCCCTGACGTCACGGGGCAGAGATAATCCATCTCCACCCTGTCCTGTTCAAATTCCTGACCTGCAGACTACGGGCACGTAGTAAAAGACTGGTGGTATTACGGTACTGAATTCAGGTGTTTTGTTACAAGCAGCAGGCAAGAGCTCTGGAGGTCTGACCATCTCCCTGCTTCCTCCAGCGACCTCACCTTTCCACTGCTTCTCCATTTCCTCTTCTTTGGCCTTAGGAACTCTCAAGAAATAAAGGGCCATTTAAGTCATATACTCTCCCTGTAGTCGATAGGACTGTAACTGGACGTCTGGGCCGAAAAACCTGGGTAGAAGATGTGATGTGGCTGGGAGGGGACAGTCCCCCACAAGGGGGCCCTCTGAGTTTGCGCCTGAAGTTTCAGACGTTGTCCACAATCCAAGGTCTGGGGTAAGGACTTCATGCTTTGTAGGCCATGGCGTTTCTGGTTTTCAATATAAAGAATGAGATTTTTCTTTTTTTAAGGGGAAGGGGGAGAGAGGGAGAAGAGAGAGGAGAGAGATCGCTCATCCCCCATCCCCATCTACTGGTTCAGGGCTTAGCCAGGCTAAAGCCAGGAGCCAGGAACTCAATCTGGGTCTCCCACCTGGGTGGCAGGGAGCCACGTACTTGAGCCACCGCTGCTGCTTCTGAGAGTGTGCAACAGCAGAAAGCTGGCATCAGGAGCTGCCGATGGGACTTGAACAAGGGCACTCCGATACGCGATGTGGGCCTCCCAACCAGCATCTTAGCTACAGTAAATGCTCTCCCAGGACATTTTTTTTTTTTTTTTTTTAGATTTATTTACTTGAGAGAGAGAAAGATCTTCCATTTACTGGTTTACTCTCCAAATGGCCACAACAGCCAGGGTGGGGCCAGGCTGAAGCCAGGAGCCTGAAACTCCCACCCCGTCTTCCATCTGGGTGGCAGGGGCCCAAGCACCTTGGGCCACCTTCCACTGCCACTGCAGTTCTCCAGTACTCCACTTCCCAGGAGCATTAGCAAGGAGCTGGATCAGAAGCAGAGATCTGAACTGGGATTCCAATCAGCACACCAACAGGGAATGGCAGTATGCAAGCATGGCTTCACCCACAGCACCCCAATCCCAGCCCTCCCATATGCTTTAAATCCTCTCTGGACTGCGTGTAATACCTAACACAGTGCAAATGCTATATAAGACTGGAGTGTTTAGGGAATAACACAAGAAGAAAGCCTGCACGTGTTCAGTATGGACGCGGTATTTCCCCCGGGATATCTGCCAGAGAAGAAAGGGCGAGGTTAGCGACAGAGATGACCCGCTGGAGGGATTGGAGGGAGCGTGTTTCAGGAAACAGGTGGAAGAGGGCCTGGCCTGTGCCAGGGGCAGGAAGGAGAGCAGATGATGTCAGTGAGGCGGCTCGCAGACTGGTTGCATGGAGGTGGGGTTTCTGATCACAAAGAAGGGAAGGCCATCAGCAGTTCCTCCACGATGACACCCTCAGGCCCTCCACCCCCTGCTCTCAACCGGCTCTCCGCTGGGAATTCCACTTGCCCTGGGCCTTCTCAGGAGGACGATGTCGGCCCCCGGTCCCCACAGCCCGGGAGAAAGGGGGGACACCTCCCTACTGTTCGCTTTAAAACCATTTGTTTTTCTCCTTCTCAACCCAAGCACAAAGTACCGTGCCTGGCCTATTTCTTGGTGCACCACAGACATTCAATAGCCATTTGTTTAAAACACAAACGAAACAAACCCTGCCCTTCTAAGGCCGGCCCCTCTGACTGTGTCACCTGTTAGGGCTTCTCATCACTTTTTCTGGCGGATTTCTCAACTCTGTTGCCACCAAGCTGGGTGGTTTCCTGCTGGATTTGCAGTTTGGGGCTCCCAAACTCACAGAAAGTCCTCTCAAGTCAGCCACTGTTAGAGTCACATCTAAGACCTGTCAGAGCCTCTCTCCCCTGCCTTTGCAGGAGTTTCCATGGAAACACTGCAAACGGCTGGTTTAATGTCAACTCTGCAATTATCACGTGAAACAGTGCCCCCTGGTGGAAAATTGCTCTATCGTACTCAGGGTTAGTATGAAGACTATTTTGAAGTGCCATGTTAAAAATCATAATAATTCGGGCCGGCGCCTCGGCTCAATAGGCTAATCCTCCGCCTAGCGGCGCCAGCACCCTGGGTTCTAATCCCGGTTGGGGTGCCGGATTCTGTCCCGGTTGCCCCTCTTCCAGGCCAGCTCTCTGCTGTGGCCCGGGAGTGCAGTGGACGATGGCCCAAGTCCTTGGGCCCTGCACCCCATGGGAGACCAGGAGAAGCACCTGGCTCCTGCTTTCGGATCAGCATGGTGCACTGGCTGCAACGCACCGGCTGTGGCGGCCATTGGAGGGTGAACCAACGGCAAAGGAAGACCTTTCTCTCTGTCTCTCTCTCTCACTGTCCACTCTGCCTGTCAAAAAAAAAAAATCATAATAATTCATTCAAACAACAGAAATTTCTTGAACACCTGTTATGAGTCTGGAATACATGAAATTATCTGGAGACACGCAGTCTCATTTCTATCCCATGTGCTGACATCAAACCAAAAAGAGAGTGACAAAGCTTCTTGCACCCACCACCTCTGGCAGAGGGACTCAATACTGGGCCAGCACTGGAAAATGCTGGGCCAGTTTCAACTCTGGGACAAAACTGAACCTGAGCCCTCTTTTTGTAAGTTTATTCAGCAAACTTCGCCTGGGCACTGATGCTGCAGGCCCTGTGCTGGAAAATAAATGAATCAGACCTCATTCCCACCCTGGAGTTGCTCTGTGTGCCAGAAGGGGGAGCACAGGGGTGAGTAATGGCTGCTGCAGCCTCTCTGTGCAGGACGTACTTGCCGACCACGTAGCGAAGCCCCAGCGTGCACCAGGGGATGTGTGGAGGCCACAGGGATAGAAACGATGACCGCTGCCGTGGAAGTGTGCATGTTCTATGGAATGGGCAGAGCTTCTCCAACAGAGGGAGGTGCTCCTGGTGTGGACAATGGTGGCAAGAGGTCCAAGGGCTGCCCTGTGGGCGGGGGTTGAAGGCAGAGCATTAGGGAAGAGATGTGTAGGCTGGGAAGCTGTGGGTGGGTGGGAGTGGCCACGTTTGCACAGGTTTCTCAACTGCTTGGGGCTGTCAGATGACCCTCCTCACCTGACTCCACGGCCACGGCACCCCTTTGCTGTGCTGCCAGCACCAGCTCTCTGCCACCTTCCCCAGGTGCCCCCTGCCCCACGCCACCCTCCCTGGCTCCGAGGCTGTGCTGCAGCTGGGATTCAGTGGACTCCACCTCAGGCCCTCACACCCACACGTGCCCGCGGGTGTCGGACACACACAAGCCTGACAGTGCTGCTGAAGATCGGTATGGTGACGCTGAGTTCCAGCCCTGCCTCCCCAAACACTCCCAGCCGGAAGTCTTCCCCCAGACGCCTGGTGCTTCCCTGTGTCTGTGCCCTTGTTTCTGCCGTGTGCTGTTCCAGAAGCCCTTTGCTGCTGCTCTCCACCTCCCCAGATCCTTCCCATTCTCCAGGGCTCGGTTCAGACACCACATTCTCTCCCTGATGCCCTGCTGTTGAAAGTGGCATCACCCTCCCCAGAACCGCTGTGGGGAGAGGGACGGAAAGGCGATCCTTGAAATAATGGCCACGTGCTGCACGCTGCAAGCTAAGCTTCAGAGTCAGACAGATCTGGTTTGAATCCAGTTAGCTGTGCAGCCTCAGGAGGTACCCTTAACCTCTCCACCATTCGTTCATTGTGACAGTTGGAAAATACAACCTGCGCCGGGCATTGTGTCCTTACGGTTACTTTGAGGACGAAATGAAATGACGACTGGAAAGTGGCTGGCACATAGAGGGCACTCAGTAAGTGAAAGCGGATTAATGCGGCCCTCAGCCAACTTAGTGTTCCGGAAGAAGGACCTTCCTCAGGCTGATTTCTGCTTCGGGGGAATCAGCTACCGGGGCCAGTGCTGGGCTGCGGCTGATCATAGCAGCTGTTGAAGCACCACCTGGCTGATCGGAAGCACAGATTTGACTCATTTGCTGAGCTAGTCACTGATTGGTAGGGAACCACCTTGTGTCTACTAAGACTACGTATTTATTTGAAAGGGGAAAAGAGAGAGAGAGAGAGAGAGAGATCTTCCATCCACTGGTTCACTCCCCGAATGCCTGCAACATCTGGGAGCCTAGAACTCCATCTGGGTCTCCCACATAGTGGGCAGGGACCCAGGTACTGCTGAGCCATCACTTGCTGCCCCCAAGGTGCACATCAGCAAGAAGCTGGAACCTGCAGAAAAGCTGGCACTCACACCGGGCATTCCCACGTGGGAAGTGGGCATCCCGAGGGAAGTGCTGACCACTGCGCCAAATGCCAGCTCCACTGGGACTTTTGAGAGTGCATGCACCTTACCCCCCACCCCCAGCTCCTCCCCAAGCCAAGCGGCGCTCCCTACCTTCATACTGGACTTCCAGGTGCATTGTGCCCAGCACCTTCAGCACACAGTCCACGATGCTGGGGTGTATGGTTCCAACGACCGACTGGTGAGACAGACAACAGGACAAGGTGGTTACTCCTCAGGTCTCGTGCAGGCTGGAAGGGCTGAAACAAAACAGCCAGGTGTCTGGGTGAAGCGGGAGCAGGGAGGATGGGCAGAGGTGCGCCATGGGCCTAGGCCCTCGCCATAGAGTTGGGGCAGAGACGGGCGACAGAGCTTGTCACTGAAACCTGCAGCTCAGGAGCCACGAGGTCAAGGTCAGCCTCCTGTGCTTCAGGTGCAGGGACAAGGCTCCCCCTTGGCTAGGGGCAAGGAGGGGTGTGTCTCACCCTGGGTCCCAAAATTGTCTCCTCCTCAGGAACCCTCACCCCATCAGTCAACCCCTCTTTCCTCCCTCCTCACGCTTTTCCCATGCCTGGATTTCTTTGCTTAGCATTAAACAGCATCAAGCTCACCCTGATCTGACACAGTTGTCCACAACTCTGCAACTCTGTGGTCTCGGCTGTGCACCACAGCTTGCAGAGAGAAGCCATCACACACACACACACACACACACACATACACACACACACACACCAGCCAGCAGCTGTCATTTAATTCCCCCTGCCCTAGGGCAGGCCCCTAACTCACCACGGCTTTTCCTGCTGGGACCATCTTTCCAGTCTGCCCTTGCGTCACCTCTGCTCTGTGGGGCCCCGCCCAGCCCGTCCTCCCTGTGGAAACCTCTTCCCCTTGGCTTTCACAGCCGTGTTTTTTTCCTCCTCCTCCACCACTTTCATTGCTCTTTTTTTCAGAGAGACAGAGTGGTTGTGCGAAGGATAAGGGCTCAGGAGTTGGAACTGGATTTAAATTCTCACTCAGTAAATACCTATCCAAGCGTGAGGCCTTGGATAAGCCACTTAATGGCTCCCCCTCCCCTGCCCCTCCGCCCCGCCCCAGGGTTCGGCTCCATCATCTATAAAATAGGGACAGTGCTCTCGGCCTCCGGCAGCTGCAGTGACGACAGGACGAGGGAGTGGGCAGAAGCCTCGGGTGCAGGGCCTGGCGTGTGGGCAGCTCTTAGAGGCAGTGTGGGAGTGGCAGTGCCAAGCAGCTGGGGCTCCTGGCCCCTCTTCCTCCGCACACCTCTCAGGTGCTGGAGGAGTCTCCTCTCTTCTCGCTTGGCACAGGCTACCCGGGAACCTGAGTTACTCTGCTTCAGTTATGCCTTCTCTGCTCGCATAGCCACACTGACATCTTGGGCCTCTCCCTGGAGCTTCAGGCTTGTTTTCCACTGAGCCATGGGCATCTGTGCTGGCTGTCCCGTGAGCAGGAATCAGACCTACTTGGGCGCTTAAAGACAAAAGGCCATACCTAGGCCCATCTGAGAGTGGACTCAGGTTCTACGGGAGGGAGGATCTGGACATAACATTCTTTACAAAAGTGAAGCAGGAGTGGGCCCTTGGGGCAACAATGAAGACACTATGGGGGATGCGCACACCCCACACAGGTGTGCCTGGGGTCAAGTCCTGGCTCTACTCCCAATCCAGCTTCCCGCTAACGGGCACCCTGGGATGGCTCAAGTAGTTGAGTCCCTGCCATCCACATGGAGACCTGGTTTGAGTTCCTGGCTCCAGGCTTTAGCCTGGCCCAGCCTGAGCTGTTGTGAGCATTTGGAGAGTGAACCAGTGGGAAGATCTCTCTCTGACTCAACCCTCTCTCTTTCAAATAAATAAAATAATAATAATAAAGAGAACCCATTATATCTTCTGCAACCAGCCTTGACTGTCCTCAGACGGTCACTTGGGAACCACCAACTGTGCCTGACTCAAATCGAATCCTCCCTTTATTCCCATTGCCTGCCTCTTGGAGTGCACAGCTCACCTTGCTGCCTCTTAGGCAGGTCTGGGTGAAACCTGGGATTCCTTTTCTTTTACTGCCCTAGATCCCAAACCCTCTGTGTCGGAAATATCTCTGCAACCTGGTCACCTCTACCCCCACTGCCACCGCCACTGTTCCGGCCTCATCATCCCTTTGGTGTCTTCACGGCTTTCCTGCCCCCCTGCCCAAGCTCTGGAGCTGTTCTGAGAGCTTTTGATGGTGCCCCGCAAAGCCATCTTGAGTCTCAGCCCCTCCTTACCAGGCGTGACACCTTCATAAAATCACACTGCCCACGTCCGCCTTCACACGCCTTCTGGGCACCGGCAGAGGGGCGCAAAGCCAGCAAGAAGAAAGGGGTCTTTCCTCCCAGCACTGGGGGTGTGGCTTCCTCCCTGACATGCCCCCTATCAAATCGGCTCCTTTAATCTTTCCTACAGTCCTTTCATCACCCTCCTTGCTTGCCTCAACCACTTCTGAGTCTGCCAGCGTTCTTCTGATCCCTTAGGGAAACAGGACAAACCACTCTGCTGGGAGACGCGAACTCCCTGCCCTGCCTCGGCCTCCTGGAAGTGGCGCTCATTGAACAGCAGCCACGTGGCGGGAGGCTGAGCTCTGCCCCGCACGCCCCGTGAGGGGCAGCTGAGGAAGGCAACCGTGAGATCACTGCGCGTGAATCCAAGCGGCAGGGGCACGCAGCCCTGGCTCACCTGGGCAGTCCGCAGAGTCTGCAGGGACAGCTGCTGCGCCTTGGGGGAGGCACAGGGCAGCAAGGCGATCAGCCCTTTATACACCTGATTCTGGTACTTGGGGTTTCCGTGGACCAGAGAATCCAACAGCACCTGTACTTCTTCCTGGGTCTCCTCTGACTTAGACTTTGCCAAAAACTCTGCTATGGACCGGACACCTGAGCAAAGGAGAGAGGAAACGCTGAAATTGGAAGGGCTTTAGGGTTGCATAAATGAGTGAAGATCTCGTCACGTGCGCCCGTGTAACGAGGAGGCGGGCTTCTCACGCTGCATCCCCGTCCTGTTTACCAAGCCGCTGAACTGGAGGGTTTCGCTTCAGCACAGGCACGTCATGTCAAAATCCATCTTAAAATTTAAAGTGGCTCTGCAGGATGTACAAATAACACCTGCATGTTTGATTGCTAGCTGACGACACTCGCCTCAGCGGTTCATAAGATGTTTTGTGACAAACTCGACCTCATTCAGCCCCAGAAACTATACTAAGAGGCAGGTGTTATTCCCATTTTATGGATGAATATAACAAGGCTCAGAGAGGCCGTGGGGAGACAGAGAGGAGAACGGTGATGAAAGTGCAGGGTGGGGAGTGTTTTGGGAAGGATGTAGGGAGGAGGTGGCTCCTTCCCAGGCTCAGTCAGAGCACTGGGTAGATCATCTTCATGTGATCTTTCTCACATGCAAGCTCTCTGAAGACAGGGACTGTAATTGTATTTTTTTTTTTTTTTTAAGTTGGGCGGGTGTGGACATTTGGTGCAGCATTTAAGATCTTGTATCTCCCATCAGAGCCTGTGCTGAAGTCCTGGCTCCGCTCCCGTTTCTAGCTTCCTGCTGGTGCACATCCTAGGAGGCAGCAGGTGATAGCTCAAGTGCTTGGGTCCCTGTCACCATGTGGTACACCTGGACCTGGGCTGAATTCTGGGCTCCTGGCTTTGGCCTGGCTCAGTCCCAGCCAGGGGCATTTGGGGAGTGAACCAGAGGGCTGATGATCTCTTTGGTTGGTCTGTCTGTCTCTCTGCTTTTCAAATAAATACAAATTAAAACTTTTTTGGATTAACATGTAATATTCAGCTGGCGCTGCGGCTCACTAGGCTAATCCTCCGCCTTGCGGTGCCGGCACACCGGGTTCTAGTCCCGGTCGGGGCGCCGGATTCTGTCCCGGTTGCCCCTCTTCCAGGCCAGCTCTCTGCTGTGGCCGGGAGTGCAGTGGAGGATGGCCCAAGTGCTTGGGCCCTGCACCCCATGGGAGACCAGGAGAAGCACCTGGCTCCTGCCATCGGATCAGCGCGATGCGCCGGCCGCAGTGCGCTGGCCGCGGTGGCCATTGGAGGGTGAACCAACGGCAAAAAGGAAGACCTTTCTCTCTGTCTCTCTCTCTCTCACTATCCACTCTGCCTGTCAAAAAAAAAAAAAGTAATATTATGCATGTTTATGGAGTGTAGTACAATATTTCAACACAGCATGTTCTGATCAAATCTGGCAACTGGCATTTCCACGTCCTCATCCTTTATGCTAGCAGCCTGCCATGGCCTCTCTTAGGGGTGGTTTTTTAGTCATCATTGTCAACCTAGCACCTTAGCATAGACATAGCATGCAGTAGATATTCAATAATTTTATTTCACAAAGGAAAGTTATTTCAATTTTATTTTACAAAGGAACTGCTAATAAGTCTTTGTTGAATGGATTTATGAAAGAGGATTTATTCATAATGGTGAAGTATTTCTAAGACCGCTACTAAAACACTTGAGCAAATGATGAATCAGGAAAATCACACATGTGGGTCTTGCGGTGGGGACACGGACAAGGGTAATTGAGTCTGCCGTGCAGAGCTCCCTGTGCAACAGGACTACCCGGGGCTCTTTCCACGGCAGGGGCGGGTGCTGCCGCCATTTCACCCAGGCCGCTGGGGAGATGCGGGGGTCGAGACACCCTGCTCGCACACAGTACTTACCATAGCTTTCGCAAATGAGCTCCTTGAACTTCCTGCCAGAGTTTGCAATGACCTGGAGTAGCTTGACGGATTCCTTCTTGTCCTCTTCCTTGACATTCTCGAGCCCGAGGATTTCCAAGAGTGTTAGGACACCTCCAACCTCCAGAAATTCTATCAGGTACCGATTACTGTCCAGAGGGATAGGGAAGCGAAAGAAAACACTATTCACGTTCCTTGGCGGTAACCTTTCTAAGGAACCCCGGGGCCCTCTCTTGGTATACTTTGCAGGAAATGTTCGTAGGCAAAGGGGCACAGCAGTGTGGAAATCCTTCCTTTTTGCAGGTTACACTGGAATTAGATACTTACTTTTGGCTTTCCAGAATTTGTTCCCATTTATTCCTGTGACAGCACCTTCAACTGGCCCTTGGGGCATCAGCCCTGCCACTCATGGGCTGTGGGGTTGTGGCGTGGGGATGCCATCCTCTGAGCGCGGGGATTAGTGGGGGAACAGGCATACGGCATAAGTTGGTCCAATGAGACTTGAAAGCTGGGACTTTCTTGGGAACTTGTGGAAAAGTCACGCTGTCTTGTAGGTGTGGCTGAACTCAAAGGCTGCTCCCCAAGGACCCCAGCTCACAAAGGCAAGCAGACTGAGGAACGGAAGAGGAGAGAGAGGGCGGACCGAAGACTGAGCCCCCAGAGTGTAGTCAGACCTGAAGTATGTATTTCCACCCTCAGGCCTTGTCGGTTTTAAGTGAGAAAATGAATTCCTTTTTCCTGAGTCAGGGTGAGTGGGTTTTCTATAATTTGCAACCAAGAAGCTGCTGGCTAGTAACAGACCAAGCGAGACGATGGCAGCAGGGAGCAACTGGAGCAGGACCACAGGAAACATGACCCCCGGGCCCTTCCACTGACACCCAAATCCATGGCCCATGTGGTGTGAATGTCAAGGACACCACTGACCCAGAATGGCTCTGGAAGGGCACTCACCTGCTCACTGCCGATAAGAAGATGTTGATGGACCTCAGAAGCTTTTCTAAGCACGAGCCAGTCATGTAGCTGCACGGCGAGTTAAAGAGCAACTTCAGGGCAGTTCGCACACAGAAACAGGTCCTGTGTGTGATCCCTGGGACTCCCTGGGGCCCAGGATGACCAAGCAGCTGAACTGAACGTTCACCGTAGGAGTGGCCGCGGCTGAAGGGGACAGGCCACACGCACAGGGTGGAGAAGGATGGCAGGCTGGCCTGTTCCCAGTTCTCCAGGGAGCTCCTCTGGGACCTTTCAGCCATCTTGGCTCTGATGGGCTCCTCAGGAAGCTAGGGGTGCCCCTGAATCAAAGGTGTATGCAGAAGCTGGGGATCAGTCCCCCGAGCCTCTCCAAGCCATGGCCACTGGACCCTTGGGTCTCGGATGGTCCATTATTTCGTGCTTCCTTCCTAGACGTCTCTGAAAGGAAGCAGCTTCATTGTTAATTTGCAATTTTGTCCTTACTCAGCCTGACACTGCAGGTCACTATCCTTAGGAAGAATTCAGTGGCTTCTTAATAAGAGTAACAGGAGATGGTGGAAAAATTAAACGCTGATTTAAAAAACCTCAGTATTTAGTTTTTTTTTTTTTTTTTTTTTTTTTTTTTTTAATATGAGCCTTTTCAAAAAGCCCCACTGTAATAAGGCACGCAGAGCACGCATCAGCTCGGATACAAGGTATGAAATCAAGCCGCAACAGAAAAGGAACCAGTCAACAATTACTAGGCTCATAACACATCACAGGCTCTTAGAACACTTAAGAAATTAGCTGAAATGATTGCAGCTCATGGAGGATGACTGAGAGCTCCTAAGACTGATAAAGGCTAATGTAATGGGTTGGAGGTAATGGTGCTTTGTTGGGGGAAGGGTGGGGGCGTGAAGCAAATTATCTCTGCTGCACCCTGGTTCCCAGGATGCCAATAGAAGTAGAGACAGATTGGCTCATTAGGAAAGGCTCTTTACTGCAAAAACAGTGTTTGCTCTGGAGCCAGGCTCCCTGCCTGTTGCCGCCATAGCTGGGGCCAGGCTATCGTCCATGTGAGAATGCATTGTCCTCACCATGCTCACCCACCCCTGGCGTGTTCCTGCCTCACTCAGTACATTCTCCCCCTTTCCTTCAGTGATCAGTGAGGCTGACCAATGTTTGTCATCTTTTGTTTCTTTTTGTCCTAGGTTAGTCTTGTTTTCATAGTCACTCATTACATGCGTATTTCTGGTCTATTATTTCCAGTAATTAGCCCCAGAGGGTTGCTGCGACATCGGTAGTAGCTAACAAGCATCAGCATTTATTGTGCGCTGGGCACTGTGCACAGTCTCATATAATCCTTATCACATCCTGGGTGCTATTAGCATTTCCATTTACTTCAAGAGTAACATGTGGTAGCCATCTTGGACAGGTTATTGACATGTCCAAGGTCCCAAAGTGAACTGATGGGATCAGGATTTGAACCTGGGCAGTTTGAGCTCTTTCTGTCTGTCCTCACTGCCTGTGGATGAGTGGAGGGGTGGGGCTATATATGCAAATCATCTCTCCTGCTTGATGTTGCAGGTGGAGGGCCTGTACTGTGCCCTGAGTGGGACCACTGAAGTTCAGTGGCTGCTATATGGGTTTGGGTTAGACAGACTCATTTTGAGCCCTGCCTCTGCTATTTACCGATAAATTACTCAGCTTTTTTCAAGATCTTACCTATAACATGGGATAAGGAGCAAACATTTAGCTTACTGGTTAAGATACCCACAGCCCACATTGGAGTGTCTGGGTTCTACTCCTGGCTCCAGCTAGCTCCTGATTCCAGTTTTCTGCTAATGCAGACCCTGGGAGGTAGCAAGTGATGATTCAAGTAATTGGGTTCCTGCCATCCGCATGGGAGACATGGACTGAGTTCCCAGCTCCTGGCTCCAGCCTCAGGTCAGCCCTGGCTGTCGCGAGCATTTGGGAAGTGAACCAGAATTTGGGAGTGGTGTCTGTCTCTGCCTCTTAAAAAAGACCAGAACATGAGGCCGGCACTGTGGGTTAAAGCCCTGGCCTGAAGCGCCAGCAACTCATGGGGTGCCAGTTCTAGTCCCAGCTGCTCCTCTTCTGATCCAGCTCTCTGCTATGGCCTGGGAAAGCAGTGGAAGATGGCTCAAGTCCTTGGGCCCCTGCACCCATGTGGGAGACCCAGAAGAAGCTCCTGGTGCCTGGCTTCGGATCGGCGCAGCTCCGGCCATTGAGGCTATCTGGGGAGTAAACCAACAGATGGAAGACCTTTCTCTCTGTCTCTGCCTCTCTCTGTAACTCTCTCTTTCAAATAAATAGGCAACAAAGAGGTTGCTGCTAACATTGATGAGGTCAGTGTCATGAGTTGTGGGGACAGGAGCCAGATCACAGGCACTGCTGTTTCTCCAACCACTGGCAGCAGAGTCAACAACAGAACAGAGGTCAAGGTCCTGCCCTCAATCTACTAAATCAGAACCCTGGAGCCTGTGGGGGTGGGGAGGTGGGCAGGTAGGCGGCTAATCTGCATTTTATGCACACTGATGTGTGAAACATTGGGGTCAACTAGAGATATCTTCAGGGCTATTTCTTTTGGCCTGAGTTGTAGGTCTACATCTGAATAATAATTTTATCAGTGACCTAAATGTAAGAAAAAGGCAGCTGAGTTGGGTTTATTTGAGCCAGTAGATCTTCCTAGCTGCAGATGGTGGTTCACTCCTTCCTTCATTCAGCAAATGTGCTACATGACGGAGATGCAAATAAGAGTAGGACAGATGCAATTCCTGCCCTCATAGGGTTTACAACCCAAGGGGGGTGGGGAGGGGAGAGGAAATATCAAGTAGGTAATAAATAGAGAGTGCTCAGTGTATAGGTAACAGGGGGAACTGAGCTGGTCTGGGGCTCAAAAAAGGGCTTCCTGGGAAAGTGTTGTTTAAACTGAGACCTGAGTAATGGCGTAGGAGTTTGTTAAATACAGAGGAGAAGAAGGGAGAGGGTTTCAGGAAAAAAAAAAATATACAGTAAGACAGTGTAAGATGAACCACCAGAGTGCTGTGGGCACACAGAGCAGGACTATCCTTAAATCCAGCCGCCTTGATGGCGGCCAAATCTGCCTTCAGTCCTGATCTGCCTCCAGGGCTCCTGAGTACAGGTGCCTTGAACTCAATGTGTCCTGAAACCTTAGCTGCCACTGAAGCTTCAGAGCTAAAGTTCTTCTTATGTTCCTTTCCCATTCACCCAGTTTCGCAAGCCAGGAACACAGTGCAGGAATGGAGATGGTAGTTGCATGCATAGATACAGAACCCAGCTTGCAGAGGGAAGTCTGAAGATGTGTTGGCATCAAGACCATGGACGAGCTCACTCGAGGAGACCCAGAGAGTGGGCGGAGAAGAGGGACTTGGATGGAATCAACAGGAACACCCCAGCATTTGAAGGACGGCTGAAGAAAGAATGGGCAGAAAGAAAGAAAAACAAGAGGGCTGGTATCCTGGAAACCAGGGGAGGAATGGAGAAGTGGGAAGGGTTGATGGGCAAATGCCATGGAGAGGTCAGAAGAGAGAACTAAGGACGCAGTCACGGGGCGCTGCAGCCAGGAAACCACTGGTAACCTCGGCAGGATCTGCATCTGCGGAATGTGTGTGGGGTGGGGAGAAGCAAGGCTGAAGAAAGAGAGGAGAAAGTGGAGGCTAGGAAAGTCAACAACCCTTTCAAGAAGCTTCACCACGAAGGGCCAGAGCTAGGTGGAGCCTCGGTTTGGGACAGATTTCATTTACTTTATAGAAGAACTTTCTGCATATATAAATGCTTTTTTTTTTAAAAAGATTTATTTATTTACTTGAAAGTCAGAGAGTTACAGAGAAAGGAGAGACAGAGACAGAGAGAGAGGGAGAGAGAGAGAGAGAGAGAGGTCCTCCATCCGCTGGTTCACTTCACTTCCCAGTTGGCCACAACAGTCAGAGCTGGGCTGATCCGAAGCCAGGAGCCAGGAGCCAGGAGCCTCCTCTGGGTCTCCCACACAGGTGCAGGGGCTCTGGGACTTGGGCCATCCTCCACTGCTTTCCCAGGCCATAGCAGAGAGCTGGATCAGAAGTGGAACAGCTGGGACTTGAACCGGTGCCCATATGGGATGCTGGCACTGCAGGCAGCGGCTCCAGCTGCCACACCACAGCGCCGGCCCCTGCATATATAAATGTTGATGAAAGCAGCGAGTAATGTGGTAAAGGTGAAAGACGTAGGAGAAAAAGAATAAAGTCCCTGAGGAGATGGGAGGGGATTCGAGTGGAGTACAAATACAAAATGGCGCCAGACAGAAGGAATGTCTACTTCCACTCTGATGGGGACAAAGGATAGTGGTGAGAGTGAGGATGCTGATGGGTTGGCAAGACAGGAAGTCGATGCAGTTCTTGACTTGGGGGATCATATTTGCACAGACATCTTCTGAAATATCAGGGAGACTCAAGAGAAAAGCTTTCTCAACACCTTCTCCCTTTTTCTATCTAGAGATTGCCTTTATTGATGGAGTGATTTCTGTTCAGCAAAGGATACATGATTCTAAGCCAGGTGGTCAAGCGTACCAGAAATAAGCTGGCCCCCTGGGAAAACTCCTGCTCTAATTCAGGGGCAGTCTTGCCTTGGTTGATTTCAATGAAACTGTCCAGGATGTGGCTCCTTTTGACTTTGCCAGCCTTGTCCCACTCTTGTAAAAAACTTAAGAGCCTGCTAATTGCTGCCTGCTCCTTTATAGAAGTCATGATTGAACAGTCCTGAGGGTGGCTACAGAGGGAGGGAAAACAGACAGATTATCACAGTGCGTAGAACCATGCAAGTCCACTGCTTGGTGGGTTTTGCTTCGCCAGTGCTCAGGTTAGAAGGCAGTGAGCCTTTGCGGGGGCGTAGTTATGTGCAAAACACACACTAGGGCTGGTCCTCTGCTGCTTGAACAGGGAGGTCCTGGCTGGCTTGTAATGCAATTAATACTCTTAAAGGGTGTACATGTCTATTCTTTCAGGGCTGGCACGTTAGCCCTTCAGCTTCTCTGCTGGTGCCAGTAACCCAAAGGCTGCAGGAGCCAGCTGAGATCACTGCTTGTTAACAAGCCAGGTCCCTACAGGACTCACTTCACACAAGGTCAGAGAGATTCCGGGCCTTTCACACCCCAGACCCTTCTCGTATGCTGATTGGCTACGGGAATGTGCACTTGCACCTTGGGCTTTTATATTAAGACTTCAAAACAACTTTTCAACAAAGTAAGTGGGAAGAAAAAGTTCTTATTCCATAGTTGGATTAATGGGCTGTGGTTTGTAGGAGTCTGTGTCCTTGGGAGAGTATTTCCAGCGGGGGAGGGAAGGTTTAAAGTAAACCCGTTTTCCAAAAATAGTTGTGATTGAAAGTGTTATTATCCATAACAAATGTTAGTGTGGATGGGAGAGAGGCACGTGCGGTTCTTTTGTCTAACAGACAAGTGAAAGTCATATTTCACATTATCATGGGGTTTTCTGTGATTTACAGAATATTTGTGAAACATTACTTGCAGGGGCCATGATTGATATGGAGAGAACAGCTTGTGTGTAGGGGAGATGTGTATTTCACGAAGACGGTTCAACATGAAATTTACAGTCCCATAAAGTGCTTCTACATCTTCGCCAGAGATCTAGTTAAAAGGACTTTACAGTCTGAAACATCCTAAAATTGATTCTAAATTAACGTTTCCTCACATGTATTTGAGATATTGATGGGGCCCAGCTATCAGGGTTTTATTAGGAAGCTATAATCCGAGGCATGCTGAGACGGACATACGTACACAGCAACCTCCACTGCTCCCGGAGGACGTGGGAAATGTGCTCCCAGGAAGGGCGTCCGCGCAGCTTCGGGGAGGAAGGTGCTCGCAAACTCCTGTCCGCCTTAAGACCAGGTGAATAACTGTGGCCCAACCTAGACACAAAAATGACCAAAACCCGCGTGAGATCAGGCATCAATCACTGTGAATGCCATTCCAGCCGTAAGTCTGAGAGTAACTTTCAGAGGCCAAGGCCACCTTCAGCAGCCAAACTGGCCCCAGCAAGATGAGGCTGAGCGGCTGTTCCAGACCCCAGGGAGGAGGGTGTGAGGCACCACCATCAGACTCATCAGGATGAACCCTTTCTAAGGCCGAGACTCCAAGGGCTGGCACAGATGCGCCCAGTAACTCCACGCCACCGAGGGTAGGAAACGCGAAGCAGGACAATGCACACTTCGAATCCCTCAAGGTTTCCTTGGATCTCAGCCTTCCTCTACCTTCTTTTGAACCAGGAAAAAAACAAACAAACAAACAAACCAACAAACACATGGCAGCTTTCAAGGTCACAGCGATGCAACCCCAAATCTACTCCATAGGGAAGGCCCACCGTGCAGCTCTGCATAACGAACTGTGGGAGACACAGAGACAAACATGGTGCTGCCGTCAGGGCCTTGGGGAGCTCCCAGCGTATGGGACAGTGGAAGGAGGTTGGTGTCAGACTGGGCTCAAGGCTCAGCTCCACCAGTTTGCTACTCAGTAAAAAATGACAATAATAGCACCTGTCCCACCACTTGTCAGCCTTCACCCTCACTCCAAAGAGGCAGCCACTTTGAACTCTCTTGGCTATTTCTTCCAGCGCTTAGCTCCATATGCCTGAACAATGAGCTTACACACTTGCTATGAGCTGAATTGCCTCTCCCCCAAATTCATATATTGAAGTTCTAACCTCCAGATAAGTCTTTTTTTTTTTTTTTTTTTTTTAGGATTTATTTTATTTATTTGAAAGAAAGAGTTACAGAGGGAGGTAGAGACAGAGAGAGGTCTTCCATCCATTGGTTCATTCCCCAAATGGCTGCAATGGCCAGAGCTGAGCCAATCTGAAGCCAGGAGCCAGGAGCTCTATTTGGGTATCCCACATGGGTGCAGGGGCCCAACCACTTGGGCCATGCTTTGCTGCTTTCCCAGGCACATTAGCAGGGAGCTGGATCTGAAGTTGAGCAGCTGGGACTTGAACCAGAGCTCATATGGGATGCTGACATTGTGGCAGTGGCTTAACCTGCTGTGCCACAATGCTGGTCCCTTTTCGGTTGTTTATTGAGGGCTAGCCACTTAGCATTGTATACACACACACGCACACACACATACATCTATACACATATATGTGTGTGTGCATATATATATATATAAAAAATTTGTTTTAACCCTCAAGATCTTCAGACAGCAGTTATTATGCATAATTTTTATTTTTATTTTATTTATTTTTTTTTTTATTTTTGACAGGCAGAGTGGACAGTGAGAGAGAGAGACAGAGAGAGAAAGGTCTTCCTTTGCCGTTGGTTCACCCTCCAATGGCCGCCACGGTTGGCGCGCTGCGGCCGGCGCACTGCGCTGATCCGATGGCAGGAGCCAGGAGCCAGGAGCCAGGTGCTTTTCCTGGTCTCCCATGGGGTGCAGGGCCCAAGCACCTGGGCCATCCTCCACTGCACTCCCTGGCCACAGCAGAGAGCTGGCCTGGAAGAGGGGCAACTGGGACAGAATCCGGCGCCCCAACCAGGACTAGAACCCGGTGTGCCGGCGCCGCTAGGCGGAGGATTAGCCTGTTGAGCCACGGCGCCGGTCTATTATGCATAATTTTCAGATGGAGCAACAAAGGTTTAAAAATGCTTGCTCATTTATTGCAGGCCTTACAGCCAAAATGGAATTTGAACTCAGTGGAAATGGAATTTGAACTCGGATTTGTACATAACTCCAAAAGCCAGGTTTTGTCTGTTAAGCCAAAGGCATTGATCCTGCTCTCTTCTGTGCTACAAAAATGTCACCAATGATCTCTTGTCAAATTCAGTGGCCAGCTTTGTTGTCCCATCATACTTGGCCTCTCAGTTGGATTGTAGTTGATTGTCTTCTCAAATTCTCCTTCCTAACCCACTCTCTTCTGGGTCCTCCTCGGGCGTTCCTTTGCTGTTCTTTGTTCCCCTTTCCTGTTTTGTAATCTTCTAGGCAACCTCATTTACTCCATCACTTCTTTTTTTATTGTTCTCATCAATTTTTTCTTTAAGTATTTATTCATTTGAAAGGCAGAGTTACAGAGAGAGGAGAGGAGAGAGAGAGAGAGAGAGAGAGAGAGAGAGAGAGTGAGGTCGGTCTTCTGTTCACTGGTTCACTTTTCCAATTGGCTGCAACGGCTGGAGCTTCACTGATCTGAAGCCAGGAGCCAGGACCTTCTTCCAGGTCTTCCACGTGGGTGCAGGGGTCCAAGGACTTGGGCCATCTTCTACTGCTTTCCTAGGCCACAGCAGAGAGCTGGATCGGAAGTGGAACAGCCGGGACTTGAATTGGCACCCATATGGGATGCCAGCACTGCAGATGGCGACTTTACCTGCTATGCCACAGTGTCGGACCCATCCATCACTTCTTTTAATTTAAATTTTTGGAGACAGGGAGAGAGAGAGATCTACTGGTTTACTTCCCAAATGCATGCAACAACTGGGACTGTGTCAGGCTGAAGCCAGGAGCCCAGAACTCAATTTAGGTCCTCGATATGGATAGCGGAGACCCAAGTACTTGAGCATCATCTGCTGCTTTCCAGGGTGCACATCAGCAGGAAGCTGGACTGGAAGAAGAGTAGCCAGGACTTGAAGCAGGCATTCTGATATGGCATGTGGACTTCCCAAGAAGCAACTTAACTTCTGTACTGCAACACCCAGCCCCACTCTATCACTTTTTTTTTTTTTTTTAAGATTTTATTTATTTGAAAGTCGAGTTACACAGAGAGAGGAGAGAGAGAGAGAGAGAGAGGTCCTCCATCCGCTGGTTCACTCCCCAATTGGCTGCAACGGCCGGAGCTGTGCCGATCCGAAGCCAGGAGCCAGCAGCCTCCTCTGGGTCTACCATGCAGATGCAGGGGCCCAAGGACCAGGGCCATCCTCCACTGCTTTCCCAGTCCACAGCAGAGAACTGGACTGGAAGAGGAGCAGCCAGGACCAGAACCAGCACCCATATGGGATGCCGGAGCCGCAGGTGGAGGATCAACCCACTGCAAAACAGCACCGGCCCCAGCCTCCATCACTTCTAGTTGCATCTGTAGGGATCGTGACTCCCAGCTCCATATCCTCAGCCTGGGCTTTCCTGCTTAGCTCCATTCCCTGTACTTCAGTGACGAGCAAGATTTTCATGGACACACTGCACAATCAACCAGCCCCACAGTCCTCAAGTCAACCAGTCTCAGACTGAACACATCAACTCCTCACACCTGCCCCTTCTGCTGTGTTGGTCCTATTCACTGCCAGCCAAGAGCTGTTTTTGGCTTGTTCCTCTCCTTTTGCCCTCCTTATCTGAACTGTTGCTGGGTTCTGACAGTTATACCTCCTAAGTCTCTCTCAGATTAGTCTGCACAGTATTTCCACTATTGTAGTCTTTTACTTTTAATCTTTCTTTTTTAAGATTTATTTTATTTACTTATTTGAATGACAGAGTTACAGAGAGAGGTAGAGACACAGAGAGAGGTCTTCAATCCACTGCTTCACTCCCCAAATAGCCACAGTGGCTGAAGCTGGGCCGATCTGAAGCCAGAAGCTAGGAGCTTCTTCTGGGTCTCCCACAAGGGTGCAGGGACCCAAAAACTTGGGCCATCTTCTACTGCTTTCCCAGGCCATTGCAGAGAGCTGGATAGGAAGAGGAGCAGCTGGGACACAAACTGGCGCCCATGTGGGATGCCGGCGCCGCAGGTGGAGGTTTAACCTACTATGCTGCAGCACTGGCTTCATGTTTCATCTTTTTAATTTGAGGGGCAAACATAGTCTCTGGCACAATGGGCGCTCAATAAGTGTTATCATTTTAAAATTTGTACTCATTTTCATTTTCTTTGAAAAGCAGAGAAACAGAGAGAGGGAGAGAGAGAGGTCGATGGGTATCTGCCGTCTGCTGGTACACTGTACCCGGCAATAGCCAGGGCTCGGGCTAGGCTGAAGCCAGAGCCCACAACTCAATCTGGGTTTCCCATATAGGTGTCAGGGTCACAAGGACTTGAACCATCATCTGCCGCCTCTTAAGTGCACATTAGCAGGAAGCTGCAAGCAGAAGCAGAGGTGAGACTTGAATCCAGGCATTGAGACACGGTATGGGGATCCCAAGCAGTATCCAAACCACTGTGCCAAATGCTTGCCCCTCAGGAGGTGTTATTAGGCTGACATCCAACATAAAGAACTCATAATTGGCACTTTAGTTTCCTTAACTCCACACATTTGTTAATTAAACAGATGGCCTAGGTGTCAACTCTGAGCCAAGCACTGAAACTGGCATTGGTCAACACAACACACACAATCTGTTTTCTCAGGGTGCTTACAGGCTGGTGGAGTAGAGACAAGCAACTAGGTGATTTTAATGAAGAATGAGAACACTCTGACGGGATATATCCCAGGTTGTGTTGGAGCACAAAGGACAGGTATGAAATCCAGATTCCAGTGTCCTCCAGCGTAGTCTGCACACTATGACCCACACCCTGAGCTCTGTGCTTAGCCGGAACTGTTCTACCTGAGGCCCACAACACCAAGCTCCTTCCTCTCCATCTGTCCTCAGATGATGGACCCTTGGGCCTAACAAAGAGTTGTAGGCCTCTAGGCAAGAACATCCTCATAGTCCTCTTCCTTCTATTTTCTCTCTCTCCATACCCATTCTCTACCCCTCTTCCAGAGAAGCATCCACCCACCCTGCCTCCCCCCAAGCTCTCACACCACCCATGACTCTCACCCTTCCTTGTGTTGTCAACTGCTGCCCTGATGTAAGCATTATTCTTGTTTGCCTAGTTAACTTTTGCCCATTTTCAAGCCAAACTAAAAATGAAAACAGAAACCTCTAAAGCCCACATCCTCCTCCAGTCATCTCTCTGGTTTTCTCACTTCACAAAACAGTCTACACGCCCTTTTCTGGCCATCCTCTC